TTGATGCTTCATAGATTATTCAAAGGCGTTCGATAAAGTTAGACATGATGATGAGCTATTTAATTTACTGGAAAAGCTAGACATAGATGGAAAAGATCTACGAATTATCAGGAATGTGTGCTGGGACCAAACACGCTACCGTTGCAGCATGAAGACACACACACACACACACACACACACACACACACACACACACACACACACACACACACACACACACACACACACACACACACACACACACACACACACACACACACATATGTTAGTCGTTGCAGGACGAGACATAACTTTCATACATTCCACCCGAACAAGGTGGACACTTTCACTGAACTGTTACTTCATGAACTCAAGTGCGACGTTCTACACATAACAACAACTTACTTACTTTAACTTTACTTTTTACTTTTTCATCCTCTGTTACCGTTAAGCGTCGAGGTGGGAAGCAGTTTTCTATGGTAGGCCATCTCAGCAGCTCTTTCAGTTGTGATGTTATGATTTCTTAGGGTTTCCTTGACACCCTCGATCCACCTTTTGCGTGGCCTTCCTCTTCCTTTATAGCCTGAGTGCTTTGTGTTGTAGGCTCTCAAGGCTGGCTGGTCAAGTGACATGCGTGACATGTGGCCAAACCATTTTATCCTCAACATTATCCTCATTTTATAACTACAACACACCTCAACAATTTGGTCTTAAGGTTAATCGCCACATCGTACGATTTAATGGAGAATACAGTGAATATAAGCAGATTAGGCGAGGAGTGAGGCAAGAATGGGTTATGTGACCAGACCTCGTTAACATGTACAGTGAAACAGTCCTTAGAAACATAGAAGAATGTCCAGCTCTCAAAGAAATTGGAAAAAATATTAATAACATCAGGTATGCAGAGGACACCAGGCTCAGAAAAGGACCTTCAATTGCTGTTGTTACAGAATGTGAACGTAAAGGATTATTGATGTATGTAAAGAAAACAGAATGCATGGTAATATAAAAAAACAACAACAACCCAGCAAATCCTAGTTGCAATTTCATTAGCAAAAGTGAA